GAAACCCAAACTGTGAATAGTGTAAGCAATAGTGTCTATTGTATTTAGACAGCCTTTCGTCATACCATGTGTTGGTGTGTCAAAGCAAAAAATCTGTTTTAATAAGCATAATTACTTAAATAAATAAATGAAATTGGTCAGGACTGACTTTTAAAGCTAGTTGATTACACAGAGTAGGATAGCAATATTTTAAATTTTTTTTTTTAAATAAGTTAAAAATATTTTAATAAATGCCTTTATGTTACAGGATTTTGTATTCCTGAGATGTAAATAAAACAATAAAGCTCTCTAAAGCTCAGAGAATAACTACATGAGCCATTTTACAAGGAGGATATACTTTTCCTTCTTTTCTATGAATGTATAAAGCTCTCCTTCAAGCTCTTACTAAATCTATTGATCTGTGAAACACAGTGCACTCCAGGGAGGCAATTCACTTGACGTTATATATCAAATGATGAGATGAATAATGATCATACCATTTGGTAATTAAACATCTTACAAACCTTCTAACTGACTGAACGTCAGAAAGGTCAAATGAGATCAAACCTATTTTTTTTATTGTTTTTAATTTTTTTTTGTATTTACAACACAGAAGTTATATTTAACAGCAACTATTATGTTACACAGCAAAACCAAATTATTGAACATGTTTTTCATTCCTATTAGGCAGTTTGAATACATAAGAGAAATATTTTTTTCATCTCAAGGTCCTATTATAATCTTCATTTTTAATCTTACAGAGATGAAGCCACTCACTAGTATAGTGCAAATAACTAGTAAATTTATTAGATTAAGGGAAATGAACAGCACCTAGAGCAAATTTAAAAATAAAAGCACTAAGATATTAAAAACCCTCCTTCATAACTTCCTGTGAAGTTATAGGAAACTGGCATTTTTTTAGATACCAAGTAAGTCCATTTCAACAGTTTGAAGACACTAACGTGTCAACTTACACATTAATTTGGACATTTTATCTCTTATTGTATTACCATGTAATAATAATTTAAATAATAATAATTTAAATGTCTGACACTAGAAATAAATCCAAAATATTTAATAAAGAATTACAACTGTAATTTCATAAACAATTTTGTATTTTGCCTTACACTTTTAAGTTGCAAAGGCAATCAAAAGATGCACAGCAAAGATGGTTTTTACTACAGACTAACAAGTGAAAAATCACTTGCCTCAATAGCTAATGCCTCTGCCAAACATGGTTTCTAGAAGACAGTATATATTCACACACATCTTCTGCATAGCCTTATGGGTTACCATAAATGAAGACCTACATTGTCAGACAGAATAAATGCCTTCATCTTCATGTAAGCTATCACCAGCCTTCACAGCCCAAATCACATCCCAAATACTAAGGAATGTTTAAGGATTTTCCTTGAATTACTTTCCTAGAAAATCAAGAAATGTTTATTAACTTAAGAAAACATTGAACATTTTTTTCAAAAAACACATTGGGACAGATCCAGTCAACTCTCACAAATACATAATTGCACAAACACACAATCAATACTTGAAATAACTAAACACACCCAGTAACAGCCTGTATGCAGGTGACATTTCTGTCTCACAGAGGAGCAAACCAGCCACTCTCAAAAACCAACCTCAGCCTACTGAGGCCAGTATCTCAGTGCTGCTCCAGGTGCTCCTGCACAGCTTAGAGCTAATCTGGAAAAGAGAGGTCTCTGGGGCAGAAGATGAAAGAAAGAGAGGATTTTTACAGGGCACCTAAAGAAGTAATGCAGCAGATGAATTTGGCCACTAAAGGAGTTTTAGTGGAAAGTCCCACATCCATGCAGCAGACTGGCTACGACTATGGGACCTGAGGGGATGTGGGAACCTTCAGAATATCAACTGCCAGTCTCTCACAGTACTTTGTCTGTCTTTGTCTCCAGTCTGAGAACAGTCCACATTAAGTATTGGAATGGGTATTCAAGTTCATAACACAATAACTTAAAAACACTGTCCTATCAAATACATTCAATCCATCCAATATATAGCTTTATTCAGGCCTAATAAATAAAAAAAATATTAAAATACCTTCATTGAAAAAGATTTCTGAATTGCAAAAATAAAATCATATAAATGATAATTCTTCTTCAGATCTCCATTTCTAATAATGTCCAAATGTAAAGTATTTAGAAAATCTTCTAGAGACAGAGAAATAGGAATTGCTCATTTTTCTAAAAGCTCAGCATGCAAAAATTCAGGGGGAAAACATCAGTTTACTGTAAGTAACTGGACTATTCCATTATACTTTAAGGATAAGTAAATAACTGTGGGACTTGCACAATAGAACAACTTCCCCTAGAAATACAAATAAGCAGGTGCTCAGATCAAATTTTAGGGGAATATTACACATATGAATTAAGCACTGACCTGGGAAAAGATGTTCTGTGGAGACTCAAGGGCTTGAACATATGCTCACTTAGCAAACAGCTGCAGCAGTTCCAGCTGCTCCTTCCCTCTCCTTCCTTTCCCTACTGTTTGTTACCTTCCCAATGCCAGAGCTGCCTCTTGCCACTCAAGAGCTGGCAAAACGACCACACAAAATGACCATATATATGTAACTTTAATGCAGACCAAGGAGCAGGGTTCAAACTGTTATAGATTTTCTATGGCATCAGCTGAGCATCCTTTCCCCATGAATTTAGTTTCCTTTTTGACAGGCTGAACAAGAGAAACAAGAAAGAATGCAAACACAAATTTTGGTGGAGGGGCAATAAAGAATTTTGGAAAGAGGGAAAAGGTATCTAGAAGTGAAGTTCATTAAATAAGTATGTGCTTTAGTTAAAAGAATTATCAATAATAGTGAGTCCAATACTTCTACAGAGAAGATGAAAAATTTACAAATGGAAATGCTTATGTCTCACTTTATAATACTACTGCTCAAAAAAGCAAATGTAAAACGTTTCTGTCATAAGAGAAAACTTTAAATATTTTTCCATTCATTCTGTAATTCAGTTCAACATTTCAGCCTTATTTTTAGAAGTAAAATAAATAATAATTCTGTCATTCATTTAGTCCACTTACCCAGCAGAGAAAGAAAATAGCCTGAGGCAAAATTTCATCATAGAAGTTTGTTTTGTTGGGTTGGGGTTTTTTGTTGGGATTTTGTTTGTTGTTTTCGGGGTTTTTGTTTGTTTGTATGTTTTTAAGGAGTCTTGAAAATAAAATTCCATTTAAGAAGGTGAAGGATGATGATGCAAAGATTACAAACCCCTGAATTTATCCTTTATTAAACAAGTAGCAACCATCAAATTTGAGAAAAAAATATATCTACCTAAAGCTAAAAGCCTTTGACTGGACTGAGTAGAAATTTTGTATATGATATATTTCTAATTCTTTATTAAGTGATAAAAAAGAGAACTGGATTTGCATCCTCATTACATCATGAAAACCTACCGTAGTGCAAAGAGAAAACTAAGAAAAAATGAATGACAAATGGCCATGTGAGTAAATTTTCATCTTGAAAAGAAGCTAAATATTCAGCAACTTGACAGTAGCATGTAGATTATAAATACTAGTTTCAAATTAGCTGCAAAACATTTAAGACATGAGGTCACATCTTTGTCATAGCACACTATCCATCTGCACTAATTTGAAGTGTTTAGTAAATAGTTTCACCCAAATAACATAGACAGTATTAGGCTGCAAATTCAGTTACAGACAGGAACTGTGGATCTCTATGTATCTCAACAGATCTAAAACAATATTTAATTTAGTTTCCCCCTCAAGTATAAAAAACATTGAGTTAAAATTGCAGTATATTTCTCATTAGTGCTGTTATCTATAAAACTATACTTAAAGTATAGACTTAAAATTCTAGACTTAAATTTCTATATTTTACATACTGAGGTATGTAAACACCTTATTCTTGAGAAGTGACATATATCATGCAAACTATATCAGGCAGTTTTAACATTGAAGCCTTTGATTACATGCCTGGTAGTTTTGGGTTTGTTTGCAAAACCTTCACTGGATCCGTCATGATTAAATGAATTTATACATAGGTACTCAAATCTATATGCTTATGTTTGGATGTAGGACCACAACCACCACATGAACCAAAACATAACCTGTTTTGCTTCCCTAGACAACTCAAGCTCAGGAAAAAAAATTTCTTCAAGAAATTTAATTGTGAACATATGAATTTACCAAATTGATTAAAAAAAAATGCAGTTAAGCACAGTTTTCCCACCAAATAACTAGTAAAAACCTGTATTCCATAGGCTGTGACTGATAACAATTACTACTAAATAGCTGTTTTACAGACTACATTCAAAATTATGAGGCCTAGTTCATGAGGGACAGGGATCTCTATCCAGTTCCTAAATGACAAAGGCCACCACAAAAAAAAAAAAAAAAATCATTACCTCTTTACCTCTTTTTTTCCTAGGTCCCATAATGGATTTTCCAGAGAAGAGAAGAAATCACTCCCCAAGACAGTTAACAAGCACCACTTACAAACACAAAACTCATTTAAAATCAGCTTTTTAGGGAGGCCAACTCTCAAAGCAATCAAATAAACATCTATTCCATTTTCAAGATCCCATTTATTTTCAGGAATTACATGTGATGCTATTTCTTCCATATGTAGTTACTTGTACTGAATTGCTTTCTTTATCACCTACATTCATTTATTCTTTTAGTAGGGATTTAAAATAGCTAGTTCATAACATTTATCATAGAATGATTTCTGGATAAGGTAACTTCAAAAGCATGTCAAAAATACAAATAATATTTTTACTATGTTGCTGAAGAACATAGGAAATAATAACACGAAAATCAGAATTACTTCAGATACAGTCAAATAAGAGACTGCTGAGAAAAACAGCAAAAATAAGTTGTTCTGAGCAATATGGGAAAGCACATTTGATTTTCTCAAGTTTTAGAGAAATCCCAAGTAAACTACTGTTGAAGCTTCCTTTTCTCTTGATAAAACCAGCTTTTATTCTGTCTAAATCAATCTATGTTGGAGTACTCACGGGCTTCAGCATTTTTTCCCAAAGATTGTGCTAACGGCATAATGGCTTTACAATTCAAGTAGAAAAACCTATGAGAGAGAGAAAAGGCTACGTAACACAGAAATGAGCAGGGATTCTTTGTCTTGGACCTCCTATCACAGAAAAAAAACCCAAAGAAATTCTATGTATATCATTAAAAGCAACTAAATTATTTTTTTCTGTTCCCTCCAAACGTAAGACTTTCAAGAACTTCAGATACAGAAAATGAAAGGTTTAGAACAGGGATTTTTGGAAGGGTTGTGACTTGTTCTATCCTGTCCCAAAGAAAGGCAAAGCTGTAGATGGCCCTTTTATCCTACTGAATGAACAGAAAGAGAACCATAGGGTAAATGTTGAAATTTTAAGTCTGGAACTGCTTTGAGAGCATTAAGAGTTTGGCCACATACAGTCATCAGCATGGCAACAAGAGAAAAAAGACCTGAGGCCACTGCTCTGCCTTATAAGTACAATATAGCAATTTTTGTTCTTAGAAATACAAACAGGATGGGAAAAAAGAAGGGTATCATTCATGTTTCTTAGGTTTATTCACAGTCTTACTGAAAATATGATTTTGACCAAAACCATCCCTGCCACTGCATACCTCAGCACAACTAGCTGTGTATTCTGGCCAACATTAAACCTGGAAATCCATCCTTACTATGTTTTTCTAGTCTGTCAACTCACTCCTGAAGGTAATTTTCAAATAGCTCATACATAATTTATTTCTTACCCAATATTCATAAAATCTTACATAGCATCCCATCCAAAAGTACAAATAGCACAATCTTTTGCAATCAATTTCTTAACTTTAAAAAATTAAATAAAATTGACACATAATATCTCTCTCCTCTCCACCCCAAAAAAAGAGCAGATTTTGTTTAAACATAAAGAAAATATAAAAATTCATATTGGATATTTAAATGACTGTGTTTTCAAGTGGTAAACCGAGGCTGCATCTGCCAACTTTCTTGATTTAACTTCTTTTGTATTTATTTCCTTTATTAACTCTGAGTTTGACATAATTTTTATACTAAACTAAAATACAGGTGTGTCTTGTTTTCTTGAAGAAGTGGTCCAACTAGAAAGAAGGCCCTCACTAGTGTGACTAAAAAGACCAATACTCATTTTTATCCAGATAAAAAAATTAGAGGCATCTGTCATCTATTGTGTCTTTAGTCAGATATTACTATGTATCGTCTTATTTCTGAAAACAGCACACACATACTACAATGCTTATCTACAGAAATTCTTTATAAAATAAAAATGTTGTGAGGAATATCTGGGACTTGTTGACCATCATTGTGAGCTGTTTTTCACAATAACTTTAGCATGCGTTTTGTGTATTGTGTTGCTATACTTTTAGAAATGTTAGGGCTTTTTTAGCAACTTTATCTTTAATATTCAAAATTATGTCTCTTAATGATTATTAAAAACCTATAAACGTAACTATCTATTTTGCATTTCACAGAATTATTTTCTCAAATCCTAAACTCACCCTTAGTTAACCTCTATTATTTTTTTAAATTAAATTTTAAGAGACTGGTTATCTATCACCAGTCTCTTAAATAATCAGAAGCAATAAGAAAATAAAATCAGTATATCCATTACTTTTATATTAAAAATAATCCCTCTGTTTGAGAGAAGTAACAATTTAAACACCAATGGAAATGATATTTTCAACAATTATAATTTCAGCAAAAGCTATTAACAGTGTAACAGCAAGCCAGTAGACACCTTTTCCTGGTATATTGTGCATAAAAAGTATTCCCATCTGTTTCAATGCTCTGGCTTTTTCATGGGCTTAAACCTGTCAAATTATTCCATTTGATTTCAGAGAATTCTCATATGGCAATCTATTTTATTTACTTTATCTTCAATAAAATGGTTGAGTGAGCATTAGCAACTATGAGACACAAGTTTCAATCAGTCCTCTGGCAAAGGCGTCAATCTACATTAGACCTACAAGGCTGTGAGCTGCAGCAGAAAGCTGGAGTGAGACAGGGCAGCAGTGAATGAGTGAGCAAGACCTAATAAAGCAGCAGTGGAGAGAGAGAAAATTCCCTCCAGACACGACCATACACCGCTTATATAATGTGTGTGCCTAGTTCAACACACCAGTAGCTCCTTAATAAAGCTGACAGCTAAAAAGGAGATTCAGACTCCAACTTCATTTTACATGACAACTACAGTAATGGTCCTCTGTTCTCAAGCAGGCCACGTTTAGAAACCTGAATTCGGTTCAGTTAAAAATTAAGAGTTCTCACCTCTCTCATTCATGTCACATAGGAAAAAGAATCATAAAATTATTAAGATGCACACCATTTTCTCCTCATTTCATACAGCTGAAAAATCCCATCACATTTCAACTAGCTTTTCCTTAAAATTTCTGTGCTAGAAACCACAAAAAAATCAGTGTATTTAAGCAATAACTCATTTTTCAAGACAGTATCATTAACGACTAATTCCAACAAATGTGGAGCATCACTCCTAGATGTCACAAAAATACCTCCCAAAGCACAAACTTTGTAATAACTGATGCAAGTTCATATTTGATATGGGCTGTAAAAAGCAGATTATTGCAACACTGCTCTTCCCAGCAAATCAGACCATTAAGACTGTACTTATTGTTTAGCTGAATTGGAAAGCTGGCCAGTTTAAATCCATAGTTTGACATTATGTATAATCATAGCACAAATTTACTGCCTCATATTTCCAGGTCACAGATTCAATTCTATCAAGGTATACTATTTTTTGACAAAAGTTGACTTCAAAAAGGGACAATAACTAGGGTCTCTGTTCTAATACAATTCCATTAAAGTACAAAAATCTGTTTATGTTTCAGATTCTTTCTGTTAAAAACTATATTAAAGACGAAGCCCATCAAACCCCATCTAATTACCTCTTGCCAACCAGATACTATCTTTTTTTTTGGCATTATGTATCTAACTGTATAACTATGTTTGCCCTCTACAAAATAGACATATACATACAGACTGAATATTTAATAGTATATAAAAAGTATGCATATACATGTACATGAGCTGTGAAGTTCTAAGTTTTTTTTTTTCCTGTAGTACCAGAAAGATTAACAGGAATGAGCACATCTCCTCTTTTCCAAACTGACAACACAGAAGAGCTAGACAATTTAATAATCATTAGCACCAGAACTTATTTAGTTTTTTTTTCAAAGCCTAAGTAGTTCAGAAAACATAGATGAAAATGTATCACTAATAGTCTCAAAACTGTCTATTTAAGTCATAAGTCAGAAAATAGAACATTTTTTCTCTGCTTTCACATTTCTGAGACTTATCTCAGTTTTTCCAAAACTTACTCCAAACAGATTTTTTCTCTCTGTTGATTAAAAATGTATTCATAATTGCAATTTTATTTTTATGCATATCTATCACTATATTTACGACTGAATCTCAGTTTTCAATCAGTGCAAACACATCATATCCTGCCATAAAAGAACCTAATAATTCCTAATACCATATAGAAGAATTAGCATTCAGAATTTAATAGTTTCCTCATTGACTGCAAAAACATTCCTTCTCCACTTTCACATACTGCAAGAAATAGAGACCAGTGCTAAATAGGCCAAAAAAGATTTTGGCTTCCTTTACAGAAAGCATTTTGAAAGAATATATTTAACTTAAAGTTATGGAAGAAAATAATGGAGGAAGCAGAATAGCAGTTACTTTCTTTCATATGCTTTAAGTTTCAGACATACTGGAATTCAATAAAAATTATACTGCCAAAATATTATAGATGCACAAGTCAGTTACGTTGCATTTTGGATATTATTTGTCTGAACATAGTAAACTTCCAAAAAAAAAATCCTTTAAAAACTAACACACTTGCTGACTCAACTGATTTCAATTATTACAGTTTCTATCAAGCTCCAGTTTCTATCAGTTTTCCAAAATACTGACACTATCAAAAAACTATCTAACATAACTACATACAATTTACACAACTTAGACAGGTAGAAAATATGTTACAGAAATCCAGTCATATTTCCACTGCTACATAGAAAGCAAAGACTCTGTTATTTCTTACTGTTTTTTTTATTGACGAATAAAAGAAAAAAAAACACTGCTTTGCAAATAAATATATTACTACCTACAAATATACAGTCATGTAAAGGTTTGCACATGATACCAATAATACAGTTATACAGTTTCCCTGTATAATTCTGTATATCCTTTGACTTACAACATTGCTATACCTGACCTTTCTTCTTTTCCTGGTGTCTTAGGTTGCAATACAGGATGTGACCAAAATATGTATTCTATCACCATCTGTTGAAATCAGCTAGGGCAGTGATCCTTATCTCTGCGGGAGACATTCTCTGCTAATGGGCCATCTGTTAAAACCAGGTGGGGCAGTCAGCCTTATCTTTTCCACAACCCATCCTTCCTTCAGGGAGATATTGTCTGTTAATGGGCCATTGAGTCCCACTGAATAACTTTACATTTAACTTTACGATAAAATTACATCATCCCATTAAGAGATGCTCCAGCCAGGGGGAGGAGCCAAGCCTTTCCTACCTAGATAAAAACTGAGATCTGGAACACCAAGGCAGCCTTTTCCACTGGATTCCAAAGGTAAAACCGCACCTTTCCACATCATCACTGGACCTGCAGAGGAAAACTGCACCTTCTACGAGACCACTGCTCCAACTGAACCACATCTGTCATCCAGGAGGACTGCAGCCACCATTTAATGGGACTGCTACCAACACCCTGACTGACGGGGGGTCAGGTTGTATTCTGACTCTGTCAGTGGTTTTGGGGTTTGTTCTCTGTAATACTGTATTTCTGTTTTAATTTTCCTAGTAAAGAACTGTTATTCCTTTTCCTGAGAGCCTCTTAATTTCAAAATTATAATAATTTGGAGGGAGGGGGTTTATATTCTCCATTTTAAAAAGAGGCTTCTGCCTTTCTTGGCAGACACCTGTCTTTCAAATCAAGACACCCGGCTTCACCATATTCATACTGTAGCTTTCCAGCCAGTGCCTTAACTCCTTGGAAAAAGGTGAAGTTAAATTGGAATAAACAAATTTTCCTTTCTTATTACCCAGCAAAGACACTCACAGTGAAACACATACCAAAATAATCTTCTTTAACACTACTTAGAAAAAGGTTAAGAAGGGCTGTGGTTCCTCACAGAGGGTAAAACTTTAAAAAACTTGTTATAAACATAGTGTCAGAACTAATTACTGTCATCATCATTAACTCCTGTGGAATAGCTTCTTTTTCTTTCTCTCTAGAGGCATCAATACATTAAGATGGATACACCAATATTATGGAGTACATAGGTATATCAGAATATCTCTTAATACCTTAGCATTACTACACATGGCATATTATTTATATTTCATATTTTTTTCTGCTTCCTGGTGGATGCAGAAGCAATTTGCCCTGGTTCCAATTATGATAAGTTTGTTGTACCCTGTTGAAATTTGTATCTTAAAAATTTACTATCGGGTCCAATTGACCATATTTTGAAATTTATATGTTAAAATATTGTCTAAAAGTTTTAAATTTATAAAGAGTTCTGGGACTATTATCAAAAAATTTTATACCTCTGTAGAAAATGTAGAATATGAACAACTGCAACACTCAACATACAGATTAATTTTTTGTTGCAATAGCAATTATGAAAAATCAAAAACAAATGTGACTGCCTTGCTAAACTCTCACCTTACACTAATTCCTTCAGGATCTCCTTTTCCAGATCTGCCTAAGCTGAAAAGACCTGATAGCCACTGTACATAATTCACTGAAGATAGCTGTGAAGGTCTGGAGCAAAGCAAGGTATTCAGTGCAGGCATGGCAAGGCCCCAGTGGCCCTATACCCATGGACAGTGTGGTGTCCCAGGTAGGTTCAGCTTGCTAACACACAGAGCAGTTGAAACAAGGTTTGGACTCATGGTCCTTAGCATCATGCTTTCACTTATTTTTATGGCAGAAGTTGAAAAAGCATGTAGGAAAATCCTGAGTGAATCAAATATTCGATGCTATCAAGTCATAACACAAGCACTCGTACATCTCAGTGAATCAGGGAAAGCAATGAGAAAAGCTATTTGAATTTGGATTGGTAAGCAAGAACAGCAATTCCAGAACAAATGAAGTTGCAAAAAAATATCCTCTTTGATTTGTGATGAATGACCTGTACTCACCTGCTTCTTCAGAGCCTCAAAAAGACCTTTTAACTTCAACCTTGAACTGAAGTGATGTCCAAGATCAATTCTAGTACCACCATCCTGACAAAACAGAGAAAAATGTTTACAGATTTAGAATTGTTTAACAAAACCAACATAGAATCTGGTCTTATAACTCCCTCTAATTTGTGCTCTTAACAAGTAGTAAGCTCAAATGTAGTCCACAAAGAAATAGAATTGTTCACCAAATTTCTTCCTTGCTGTAGAGTGACAGCTTAGGCATCACTCAAATTCTAGCCTTGTGTTTTTATTCTATTTTTATTATTACATTACCCAAGGGCAAACAAAAGGAAGGCTTCCCTGAAGTAGTTTGCTTCAGACAGAGAACTGCACACAATATCACTACCAGTAAGTTCACAGGGTCATCTGAAGGAAGGGACACAAGCTGGAAGACAGCATGCCAATAAAATTTAAATCTATATGTATGTTAGAAAGGACAAAAGGACAAGTAAAAAGAAAAAAAAACAGCTTTGAAGCTGAGACTGGAAGACTGCAATGAAGATAGAAGGTTGGACAAGGCAGAAGAAATAAAGAACATGGAGATGTGTTGATTACTTAGATTACATCTGTGCCTGAACACATTTCTCTTTCCTGACATCAACTGGCCAAGATAATCCTCCACCTATGTAGGATGTAGGAAAATCCTGTATCAATATAGCATAGTCACATATGCTCCAAAACAAAGGGGTTGTGTAGAAAATTGGCTAATGGAGATGGTCAAACAAATGTCTGAGAATTTTCTGGAACAATGTTGGTTTGCAGAGATATTAACTGTGGCAGAGACAGGGAAACATTTCCAGGCATTGTTTAATTTACTAATATAGACACAGACTTAATGCCTGAAACTCTGCTATCTCTGAAGTAGATCCTACCAGCCTCTTGATGGTGCCTCTTGGCAATTCTCTCTTGCTGACAAGGTCAGAGAGAAGCAGGCTGAAGAGTAAAATAAATGTAGAATTTTATAAAGAAAAGACTGCTTTCCCACAGTTTAAGAAAAAAAAATCTGTGTTCCAACTGGCATTATTAATACACACTTTGTTACAAGATGTTTGGACATTTAAAAGAGCTGCAGTTCTAACTTCTTCCTTTGTTTGTAGAGTGTAACAAAACCTGCTGGGAAGGTCGAAGTTCCTAGAAAACTGAAAGCTACCTGGCAGCCTCTGTAGTAGAGCAAGTGAAGAAGGGAGAGCAAAGAATGACAGGCTGGAGGAATAAACACTACATGAAACCCCTGCACAGTAGGACAGCACTGGGAAATGAGAAGGGTATCTTATGAGCTTAATACAAAGCAAAAAAAGAGAAGAAAATGTTAAAAACGGGTAAGGATCCTAAGGCAAATATGAGGATGTGAAGGTGGGTGGCAATTCTTAAAAGTTTTTGGGAAGTAAAATATGTGTAAATGAAACTTTGCTTGGTGGTCATGTGGTCACTCTGGATCCACAATGTAAATTTCCAACCAACTGAGCAAAAAGCATTCATCTCACTGACCTATTTCTCATTAAAAGGTTGCAGTTTTGCCTTAAATAGCTATGCTTCTGTCTTTGAAGTTTCTTGTGCACCTGAATTCTAGAATGAAATACACATTACAGTTACTTCTTCACCACTACATCTTGTTGACAGATAATATGTAAGTCTCAAATGTGAATATTCTGTAGTTCTCTTTTTTCCTATACTTCATTACACCAAAATACTTTCAAATCATCAGTTTTCTTAGCTTGGAGTATAGTAAACATCACATATTGCTTCACCTCAGAAATAAAGCCAGGACAATCACAGTTATTCAGTATGAAATCTTATATGAAAACATGACCCATTTTGTTGAAATACTGCCTTTTCAGAAAAAATTTTTCATTATAGAATTTTTTGGTAATTAGTCTTAATATGAAAACAACCACAATCATTAATCTCAATTACAATTTTACCTTTGGTCTATTTCTGGATTTCTATATTTCTTCAGAAATCAATAATAAATATTTAAATTGGTGAGGATGGCACAAAGTAGGTGTGACAGATATGTCACAGAGAGATAGCAGGTCTTACCTACCAATTGTCTTTTTAACAGTCCAAATTTTCATCTTTAGAATCTTATCTATTGACTTCTGTTTGATTTATGCTACACTACAGTGTGGTTTACCTGACAGAAGTAGGTGACTCCTAAAAAATAATATTACTTCTGTTATAAATATTGATTTGTTTTGATTTTTGTTAGCACCCTGAAAACCTGGATCTGAATCATTCCAGTTACTCCAGTTCAACACCAACATTTCTCTCCCTTCCTGAGCCAGCAGATTCCATCCCTTGGGCTCCAGCAGGTAGAGCTTTAATTGTTTACCTATCCCCTACTGACAGTGCTTACAGAGATATGTTTCCATTCTTCAATATCTAACAATTTAATCTGAATTCTATCTGAATTTTAAAAATTTACAAATTCACAGACCTTGTTAGCCAAAGCTTTAAAGTATCCTGACAGAATGTTAATTGTCATAGTTGTGTCAGAAATCCCCAGAATATTTAATTCCAAATGAAAGTCAAATTAATTCCTGGATGAAGACTTAGAAACTTGAGTTAAATAAATCCAATACCCATGTGCTTCAAGTATTTATTTAACTCATTCATTTACTTGCTGCAACCACCTCTTAGCTTATTCCACATTTAGATCACAAATTATAAGCGTAGGCTTACCTATTATATGTTTGTACACTGCCTCTAAGACAATATTTTGATTTCAGACTACGTGCTTTTATTCTTTATCCTGCCTCAGTGGTGGTCTTTGGTATTTTCTAAAATGAAAATAACCCCACCAAAGTACACTCCAGCACTTAAGCAGTTCTCATATTTGATAGATCAAGTTGCCATGATGTGTCACTATTTCAGGTAAGACATTCTCGTTCAGATTTCTTCTACAGTAAAAATGCAAATTCATTACTGTAATTCAAAACTGCATTACTGCTTGAAGTGGGCATTTCTATAAAATATTCTAATGAAGCACTACTCACCAAAACATGCAAGAAAATTTTAGAACCTGGTTGATGGCTACCTATAGTTATTATTAGGTATGCTTGTTTTGAATCAGATAGATTGAGCCAAAGTCACTACTGGTTTCACTAGAGCAAAAATGATTTGCTAAAGAGACTGTCTAGTATTTTAAAGACATAAACATTCACTGGTATCTATAGCTTCCAACTTTCCACCATATAGGACTCACACAACTTTTAAAAAGTCTTAATTTGTAATAGGACTTCCGAGCAAGTCTTAAATTGCACTGTCAATGGGATGTCCTGAATTTTATTTGAAAATACATCACTTCCATACAATCTATAATGTATATCTTCTAAAAGTATGAAAAAGTGCAAATTTACCTAACATTTAGACTATGTATTTTTAATTATATCTAAACTACTTCAATGCATTAATTTACACCACAAAAAATATTATTTTTGATGAATATTATATAAATTGTAGAACTGCAAACAGTCAAGTACACCCCCTTTCTTCCTGACTCTGGAATTCACATTTCTGTGATAGAAAGATACTCAGAAGCTCATAACCAGACGAGCACTACTGAATGCCATTATAATTAACAAGTACATGCAAAATAAATTAGTAGTTATGTTTATAATCAGTCCCAAGTTAAGTGAACCAATGAAAAGACCTTCATACTACCATGATCTCATAAACTAATTTTTAAATACTATTTTACATTACTACTTAAACAAATGAAGGCTGGATTACATTAGCAGTGGGTACAAATAGACGTTCTGTGGTGGTGGGAGAAGCATATATTTCTTCATGTTGCACAAAGAAAATAATGAATTCCTATATGATCCTTGAGCTGTCAAATTTCCCAAGTACGTATTTTCCAAATTTTTCAATGCTATGTACTTATAAAGGTGCACATTATATACTATACCACAAAAAATTATTCTTGAATTTTTACAACATGGAATTTCCTACACAAAACGCCCATACTCCATTAATCCAAAAAGCATGTAACTGTGCAAAGAAGTAAGCCAAGGATATCAATAAAATTTACAAAAAAATAATTAAAATTTAATATTAAAGGCCCTGGAAAGTGCCTGGTGACAGAGAAACGTCCACATGGACTAAATGCATCACTACTTCCAGTGTGTTCCATCCACTGTGCAACTGATGCACAGGTTGCATATAACTCCTCTTGGGGAAGAGGGGCTGGGGGGGGATGTTGTTCCATTTAGGTCTTACTTGTCCTAAAGATTAATAGGACACAGATTGCCTTTATCCTGTCAAAGCACACTGGAAAAAATGGAGACAGTACCAATGAATGGGAAGCCTGGAGTGATAGAAAAGTCATCCCCCATATTTTTCTTCCAAAATATCCATAACAACTTTGTCTGAATAGCTGGATATACAGACTAACTCATCCCTGAGGCAGGTCTAACTTGCTTGACTTGCCCCTACATGACAGATAACCTGTGTTGACACTAATCTTCTAAGTATGCGTGATACCAATATCATATTTATAGAGATTTCTATCCAGTGTGCACAGATACCATACCTTACTTTATCCTCAGGCATGTCTGTCTTTCTTCTGAAAACATATAATTTATTCTAAGTCAACTCAGAGAATAGCCACTTTCCACTTGTTGAATTTTCTTATTATAATAAACTGCAACATTCTACACTAATTTGGGGGAGAAGAATATAAACAAAAAATCAAAGCGATTAACTATTCCTAAATAGTTTGTTCTACAATACCACAAACATAATGGCACTGCAGTCTTGTGAATTACTTCCAGAATTATGATGTCTTTCTCCCTTTTTCTCCTGTGATGTGTTTAGGAGGGATTCAGAAATACTATCAGATAAGAATGTAGAACAGCTTTAGAATGTAGTATCTCATAAGTGCACATATATGGTGGTCATCCTGAGTTGTCTGACATATCTAGTTTGTTCCTGCAAGGAGACATATGTATAGATTTATAACCTAGTAACACATAAAGTAAAAATGCACCTGCCCTTTTGCCATGATGTCAGATATCACAGACTCTCCCACACACACAGAG